ATCTCAGGGTTTGGTACATTGGCAAATGTCTGAATTAACTGCTCAAATGTGACTTTGAAACAACTCGTGTTTGTGGCTGAGTGTGAGGCTGCTTAGCGCGGATGAATAATCAGCTTGCCTTTTTCGTGGAAACCAAAATGCGGGGAACTAAACTGAGTAATTTGAGGGTTTCAGTCTCTGCAACTGCCAACTCTGTTACCCTTCCATTCACGGGGAACACGCTGTGCTCCCTTGCATTTATGAGCTTGGCACAATCCTTCACCACTTAATTCTTCCTGGAATCCTGTCTGACCCCTTCACAGGGCCACCCTTCCCTCTTCCAGTCCTTACAGGTCCCCATTCTCTGTGTACCTGTATGCTGGCTTGATCTGCCACTTAGGGTCTACAGTGCACTTTTTCCTTATTCTCATTAAGGCAGGAGCCACACTTCCACCATGTCTGGTTCCCACATGTGCTGAGCACATTGGCAGCCAACAACTATGTGATAACAAATAAAACATCTAACCACACTCTTAAGTTATCATTCTGAAGTCAGCTAATCTGCTTCCAGTTTTCTTTTCATTATATTTTGGTGTAAATCTTTACTATCTCTTTTATCCACCTTCACTTGACTTCTTCAATGGGTTTTGAGAGGTGAACAGAACTTCCAGCGCACTACAGTCTAAATTTGGGCCACATATTGCCCACACAGTCCAGTATCACTTAATATGATTGGCACTCCTCACATGTCAACTTCTGGTCAGGTGCCATAGGGAGAACAGAAGGCTTTACCGTGTACTGATAGCCATGGCATCTGGAACCAACTGCACTCCATCGTTTTCACGGACTGAGTCATACTTCCTAAGGGTATGACATTGCTTAGCTAACTAAGCACATGAAAAAAGCTGAGTACAATATTAAAATGAGGTTTTACCTTAAAAATTGACATGGCAAATAGGAAATTAAAGTGGTGACCAAACTTAACCTTTAAATAGATAAATATGTTGAACTTTTGATAGGCCAGAAACTCATCTGAATACACATCTGTGAAGTTCCAGACCAACAGGTGTGGTATTGATTATAGGCAGGGGGTTTATATGTATATGATAAAATTCTAAAATGGATTAAGGATTCTGATTTTTACTTTTTTTAATATCACCATTGTGGACAATTGAGAGTTAAAAGCGAATATAACATTATCTACAAACTAAAAAGACTTTGATAATTTTAAAAGTTCCCAAGGTTGACATTGCTAAGCTTTCAAACAAAGTACAAGATTAAGTAATAATAAAATACACACACAAATACAAGAGTCATAGTAGACAGAACATGTGGTCAATTTTTCTGAGAAGAAAAAGTAACTTCTGCATGTGCACATTGTTCTTAGATATCTAAATGAATCGCTTAACACACTCTTTTAAGAAGACTAAGGAGAATTCTGAATGATAGAAGTGAATACTTTTACAAAACAATCTCACAGTCATTCTATCTTGAAAACAAAGCCCACAGTTCTAAAAAATCAAATTGACCTGTATTTTCAGATACTAAACGTTTGGTCGTACAGGGGAAAAGTAATTTTAAGTAGGCACAGAGGAGTTTCACATGACACCGAGAAGATATTTACTGTATAAATTGCACCACTAGACAAATACTAGAAAGAAATAATTTGAATAAGTACACGGCCATCACAGCATCTCACACATTCATTAGAATTCACTTTCACACTAGTTTATATACACTGAGTAAGTCATTAAATATTGCACTTATTGGCCCATGAACCCTCAATTCTGAGGTGTTGAAAAATAGAAAACAAATCTATTTTTTAGAACATACGTCATGCAACATTTAAGACATTTCAGTTCTACAAACACCATTAAGTAGTTGTACATTTGGACAGTCCAACTGTATCACATCACGTCTGACATTAACAATATATTAACAGGAATTACAGGACAGTTCTCATTCACCATACTTCCTAGGGATGATGAAACAATGCATGAAAAACCATCATATTGACACAGCAGACAATCCTCAGACTTCATTTGGACAAGGAGTATGGATTCACTAGTCAGATATGGGTCATTCTCATATCCCTGAAAGGCCAAGTGTCTGTGGGGCTCATGTACCATCTGTGTCTGTAAGAACAGCATTCATGAACCTAAGCAATCCTTAGCCCTGAATGACATGAATATGATGATAGTTCCACTATGAAATAAAGCCACAGTAACTCTCAGTTGTCCACGATAAAGGGAAAATGAACACAACAGAGGTGAATGAAATACACAGGCAATCCCCTGCCTCATTTTCAGCAAGTAATAATTTATTGAAACTCCACCAATAATAGTTGCTGAAGAGAGACAAATGGTGCAACTTGACACTGTCATTCTGTGAGGATGGTGCTTTGAAAATATCCAAAAGAAAATTTAAAAACCTGAAAGGAGAAAAGAGCAATGTAAAGATAAAGTATAATGTGCCCCTTGGCTACATAATCTGATCTTAATACTCAAACCCTGGGTGAAGTTTTGAAATGATTCATTTCTGTTACCTACAGTGCTTGCAAAATATACTTTCTTTTTCCCTCTGTGTTTCAGAAGTCATTATGTGCATAGACACAGACTAATCAAATCCATGTGAAGAATCTATATGAGTTACAGTAGGTACATAGCAAAATGCTCCTTTTTCCCTGGACAGAGAAAGCACCATAGATAAAATTTTCCCTTCAGTAAAAAATAAAAAAGGTATTAGTGTTTATAAGTGTGTGTTGGGAGGGTTAATAGTCTATGTGTGGCCCAACAGTAAATAGTTTCGTCTACCATAGGGAGATAGTTGATTGGAGTGCCAAGCATTTATAGAAAGGTTTAAAAATACATTTACTTATGAAATTCCACTTACAATAGGTAGGTGTATTTTAGATAAATCCCCACAACCTATTTTCTAACTCCTTAGGGGATACTATATTTCTAGAATCCAGAGCACTTTAGGTGCAGTGTAGGGATAAATAATTTTTTTTCCTATTTGATCATACACTTTATCCAAATTTATTTTTTACCTAGTTTGTCCTAATTAAACACCAATACACAAAACACTGGACTGATTTTGGAAAAAAAATTACATAAACTATAAAGAATTGCAAAGAGCTGACTCTACTATCCAAAGATTTAGCACATCAGCAAGCCTTCACCATTTTACTGGCATACCACTAAAGTGCAGGTAGTATCCACTAATAGGCAGGATTAAGAAGGTTTGTAGAGACTGCATCATCCAGAGTGGCTTTTGAAAGGCCTCTGGAGTCTAGCTGCTCATGTGGCACCCTGACAGAGCACACTGAGTGTGAGTATGAAAGAGCAGTGCTCCCAGGACCTGCCAAGAAGACTTCAAATTAGACAGAAAGGGTTCCTCAGACAGATGGGTCAGCTCCTGATACAACAGGTCAAAAATACCTGATTGAGCATTCCAATAGTACTCTGAAGATGAGCAACAAACAGGCTAGCTTTTTGGTCTAGAACAGTTGGAGTCCTGACTTTAGGATCATTTATATCACAGTTTTTCACATGCAGTTGCTACCTCAGCGTGGTGAAGCTTGTCACAGTTTGGATACAATTTTATATAGTCCCACAAATGCCACACAAGTAACTAAAGAACTGTAGGACATTAGTAGTGCACTAAAATACATGTTGAATGAAACATGTCACAGTGAACCACTGACTATGAACTATGACATTAAAAGATTAATGTCACTTTACAGAAGCTCAGTGAACAATGGATTGTGTGTTTTACTTTAAGATCATTGTTAGCATAGACAGAGTTAAAATTAGAAGCTTAAACTGGCATCTAAAAAACGAGAAATGTGCTAAATAAACAAATGGCCTATAATGAATCTGGTTAAGAGTGAAGTGAGTGAAATAATTGTATTTTTAACTGAGTATATTGATGTCTTATACAGTCCAGTTGCAATTTTGTAGAATTTAGATTTCACATTTATCATGATAGTGCTGCAACTTTCTGCTTCTACTGAAGACATCATCACATCCCCCTTTCCAAAAACAGACCTCAGCACTTACTTATCAGACAGCAGGGATACTAAACTTGAAAGGGCACAGAAGAGGAATTACACAAAGCCCTTGCTTCTGATAGTCATTCGAAGGCCATCCTGACAGTAGAAGCTGTTCAGTGGGGGTTAATAACAGGGAAGTGAGTATTGAACGTCCTGGGGCAATGACACTAGGGCTTCTCAGCCATTCTCTCCTTTGATTGGCAGGCAACTAACATTGGGGTGCTTGATACTGTGTATGAGTGTGCATTTGGTTTTGGTCAGTTAAGTTTAACCAGTTCTTCAAGGGAATTTCCAAATGAGCAAACATGTCTTTTCCCTTTCTTTCCTCCCCCTCTCTCATTTTATGACAATATGCACACCAACACTGTTCTGAAATCATTTAAAATACTTGATCGAAACCTTTTACAGTCATTGTATATGTGTGAGGGAGGATGGCGTGGAGTTCCTTGCTTTATTGTTTCACATTAGATCGTAAAGTGAGCTTAACAGCTATACTACTTAACATGGCCACATTCTAGTTCAGGTGGCAGATATGAGGCAATGTTATACAGACTAATAACTACTGCAAATAAATCTGTCTTTATGCCCCTGCTCCTCTCTTTCCCATCATTTAAATTTCTTTGATTCTTGAATCTAGGTGCCTTACTAAAATCTCATAAAAAATAGCATCTTCTTGTCCTTAGTTAGTGAAGGCTTGCCCCTCAGGGTGACAAAGTGGAAATTTATTACCAATTTGTGAATCTAAAACTAAGAAGGTATGAAAAAAACATAGATAGAGTTTGGCATCTCACATGTTCTCTCCTGTGATTTTTACCTTTAAAGTTACTAATGATGTATAGAACTGAGTTCCCTAACTTCTAGGTATTCATTTTCCAGATATATAATATTGTGTCTATATCAGAGACTGGGATATTTAGACTAAGAAAATAATATATATATATATATATATATATATAATCATGCTGTCATATCTTTGCCCGACACGCTTGCACTGAATACCTTCATGAGAAATTTCTTTATTTTTGAAGGGAAGGGTGAATCCTTCATACAACCACAAAAATGGAGAAAGTTCACCTTAGGAAACTATCCTTCAAAAGGCATCAAGGGCTGCTTGATGCCTTCTGTAGATCCCAGCTGCAAATGCTGCTGGATGGTGGTAGAGGTCCAAATTTCTCCTGACATTCAGCACAGCAGGTAAGATTTGTTGTGTGTTATCTCTATAAGTCTTCAAGAAACCTAGAATAAAACCCAGGATGTTTGAATGGTTTTCTCCCTTGCTCAAACTGCTGTTGGGCTCCTGGGTGTTTCTGTAACTCTCAGTTCTAAAAAGTGTTCTCTGTGTAACTTAAGTGTGTTTAGAGACTTACATATTTAGGATGTGCTTAAGAAGTTTAAATATCCTGAAAAATGTTGAGTTGAAAGTGGTCTTTTCCTCAGTATGGAACCCACTGAAAGACTGTCCAAACAGCTTGTAATAGGTAGAACTTAGCTGAAGTTGGAGCAGAAAGCAGTGGTTGGGGAAGCAAGTCTACCTTTTACAGGGTAAGGAGCCCTAACAAGCTTCAACCTAGTCTCTAGTCCCATAACTGATGATGGTTTCAGAGAGGGACTATAATATTTTGCAGTGTGTGTTATGGACACAGGTCATGAAGGGAATGGCAGCCGCTCCAGCCATGGAGTTCTACAACTACTCACACAATTCCTGGATGCAATAACTGCTGCTCGACTGAAATTCAGTAGATACCTCCTCATGGGTCAGTGCTCACAAAGATTCAAAGTTGGGTAGACTCAGTGGAAAAGTAGTTCCCGGCGCAGGGAATTACTTATTTCCCCACTTATTTAAACACATAAGCTTAGATTATTGTTTAAATCTAGCTCGAATCAGGTTAATATTATTGACCTAGGAAAGTTGCAAGGGTCTTTAAAACAGTATTTTAACTCTTTTTCCTTTTTTTCAAGACAAGAGTTTTTTTGCTTTGTAGTCCAGACTAGCCTTGAACCCATGATCCCCTTAGACCTTAGCCTTCTGAATTCCAGGCACCGCCACCGAGTCCTTTAATTTCTTTATAGTCAATACACTCTTCAGTTATTAATAAAAGTGCAAAATAGGTATATTTCCTAATAATAAACGTCCCAGACCTGGTCTCTATCAAGAGCCAAAGTTCTACTTCATTTTCAGCTATGGTAAAGCAAATAAATTCTGGCATCTCCCCCTACTCACAACACACACACACACAAGGAATTCCTTGGTCATCGTCCATACAAGTGAATAGCATAATTTGAATCCATGGCACAAAAATTATTTGCAGTGAAATTATGGTCTGAGGTTTCAGCAGTAGCTTAACTGAGTAGAAATATTTAAAAGAAAAAAGTCTCAAAGACAAATAAATAAGTCACATGCAAGTACCAGGTGTTTATAGATTGATAGTCTTTACAAATTTAAGATCACATGTTTGCCACATATTAACACAATAAGTCGCTCAAGGTTTGAATGCATATATAGGCCATTGACATCAAAGATTTCCTTCAAATAATTATTAGGCAGTATAAGTGAAGGCTAATAAACCATTTATAAATGCTGTTTCTTGGCCACTGGAGCCCCTTGGAGCTCTTATGTGGGGAGACATTAGCAGCCACAGTTGGGCTGTGGTGGAGGAAGCGTTTCCTTGAGTCTTGTGCTCTGCTTTGCAGCAGTGATGGCTGGGTCGGTCTCCAAGCTCTCAGACATTTTATCACAGATGATATCCACAAGACGCTCAAAGGTTTGCTTGACATTAATGTTATCCTTGGCACTGGTTTCAAAAAACTCAAACCCTGGAGGAAACACACAGAAACACAGCTTGGTTATTTCACATTTAACAAATCTTGGTTATGGTTTTGAATGGTGATGTGGTGATGGAGAGGCAGTGATAGGAGGCAGGTTTGGTTTAGGCATGACAGGTGGGGATAAAGCACTACCCACTGATCATGAAGTATGAAGTAGAATTGGTGGTGCACATCGTATTTGTCTGTATGGATCCAGTTATGCTACCAGCATAGCAAATAGATTTTCTGAAAAGTAGTCGAGTCAGTAAAAGTAACATTAAGAATCCTCAACACCAAGTCTGACTTTATCCATTCCCTTCCTCCTACCCCTGGTCTGATGGTTACTCTTGTCATCTTGGATGGGTTGAGAAATGCCTAAGGGAGCAGTAAAGCACCGAGTGTATGTGTGACAGCTTGTCCAGAGACAATTACATGATGAGAATTTTGACTTATTCAATGAATCAAAATTATTGGTGGCATTATTTGGAGGTTGCATTATTTGGAGGTGGCAAGGAATGGGTGTGGGGTTTAACTGAATAAAGTACATTATTGGGGTGTATTCTCTGTTTTGCCTTCGACCATTTCTGAATTCCTCCTTTCTTTGCTTCCTGGCCACCATGAGGTGATTTGTTCTGCTCTGCCATGATGGACTGATTCTTTTGAAAAAATGAGCCCCAACAGACCCTTCCTTCCTTGGGTTGTTTTTGTCTGGTATTGGGTCATTACCACAAGAAAAGTAACTAATAAACCTGGCAAGCAGGCGGCCACTTGCATTCTTTCCTAAAACTGCCATTACTTGACATTTCATTCTTTTCCCATTTCCACATTCTACCAAAGTTTTAATTTTCATTTTCATATAAACTGGAGGTTAGAAGACGAAGACGCCCGTGCATTTTCTAATGAAAGAGACTGCCACGTTCCCACCCAGTCCTATTCTGACTTTTCCCGTCTTCCCTGCTGCTGCTGCCCAGTACATCTAACAATGGATTTCTAGTAGTTTCAGTATCTAATAGGACACAAGGTGGCACTAAAGAGTCACAGGACTCACCTTAGGCCTGCTTCAACCTTCTCTGGATATGGAATGCTGTTAATGAAACAGCCTTTGTATACCACTGCATCTATGTAGCGGGGAGTGATATTTTTCCATAGCCTGTTTTGTCTATGAGCAGAATGCTTTTGAACCAATAGCTGGGAAAAGACACTTAATAAATTTCAAATGAGCAACAACATTGCAAGAGGTTACAAATGCAGGGCCAATGTCACACTTACGATGATGGCCCTCGGAGGAAGCAGCTTAGTGTGCTGCCCTGCACACAATCCTATCATTCCATTGTTTGCATTCACATTCCACAGGATGCACTTGCCTGTCAGTTGCCATAGCAACTTCCCTACTAGACCAGCCAGAAATTGCTCTGGTCCATTCGAGGGATGTTGATTTAGGATGTGTTGGGCTGAACACAGAAAGCCTTTTCTAATCCATTCTCAATTTTACACCCTATAAATCCTTCTGGTTACATCTGGCCCTATCTCTGAGGAGACACAAGGATTCAATATGATTATATCAGGTGATTTTATTCTTAGCTCCCAGCACTGGGATGGGGGGTCAGGCAGCCTAATATTTCACATCCATGTCAAAAATCTCTCAGATAACCAAAGGATACTTTTCTTTTTTAATTTTTTTATTTACTATTTTTATTTTATGTGTATGTGTGTATTGCCCGCATGTAGGTAAGTGCACCTATGTGGTGCAATGCCCATGAAAGACAGAAGAGGCTGTTGGGTCTCCTAGAACTGGAGTTATGGACAGTTGTTAGCTGCCGTGTGGGTGCTGGGATTCAAACCCAGGTCTTCTGCAAGAGCAGTTGGTGTTCTTAACTGCCGAGCCATCTCTCCAGCCCCAGGATACTTATTTTCTTAAAGAGAATGAAAAGAGAAAATAATTCTCATGTGTTAAGATTTTGAATTCACACATGGTACTAAATGATTAGATGATCAGTCCGAGGTTGAATTTCAACTGCTACTCTGTTGTCAGAATCCAAATGAACTATTGTAGGACTTGGGAGGAGAAGCCATCAGAAAAGCAAGGTTCTACAAAATAGTGGAGATTATTTCCACCCATCTTTGGCTTGAATTTCTCTTTCATTTTCTTCTCTGTATAATGATCATCTTATTCTCTTAGAGTCAATAGATATTTCTTTACCTATGATAAGCCTTAGTCAGTTGGTGCTGAAGACACTCTCTTTCCTAATGTTTGCACAATCCATCTGGCTAGAGTTTCATTTTCCAAAAACTGGACCCAGCCTGGAGGAGGGCAAGTATTATCTAAATGATATCCTTGTTGCTTAACCATCACAATGCTTTGTACCTATTTGCTTAGAGGATGTTGCTTTTTTTCCAACACTAGTGGGAAGAGGGCTTTATGTCAGAGGAGTCCACTGACATGTAGGATCCTTGGATGAAATTTTGGAGAAAAATAATCCCAGAATTTGGGACAAAGCTAATACAAATTTCGATACAAAGTTACAGGATCAATCATATCATCTCTTCTGCCAGTACTTCTTTTACCTATTATTAGCATATTTGGAAAAGTGCTGAACTTAAAGCATATCCAGAAATAATTAGCTCATGTTGAAAAATACTGAACTTGAAGCATATCCAGAAATAATTAGCTCGTGTTGAAAAATACTGACTTACACAAGCCTTTCATCTGGATTTATGATGCTGATATATGAGTTGAGGTCAACATGATTTCTGATCACATAAGCCAAAATATCCTAAGCTTCCCTACCTTTATCTGGAATCCTAGAAATACATGGCTACTCAAGAGAGAGTACCTAGATCATCATGTTATGATAGCAGCCATTTCCCCAACATGGCTGATGGGAACATGGTGAGAGTGGGGGGTTACCAGCCAAAGCACACTGATAGTCCCACTGTCAACACTTACTAGGTTTTATTTTCATTTTAAGCATTTATTTATTTATTTATTTATTTATTTATTTATTTATTTATTTATTGTGGGTTGGAAGTGCAGGGTATGCATGCCTCAGAAGCCACCAAGTGGGTTCTGGATTGAACTCAGATTGGCAGGTTTGATTGCAAGTGTCTTTCCCCACCAAGCAACTCACCAAGCCTACCTACTCGGTTTGATATGATGAGAAATTTGCAGCTTTTGATACCCATTTGCATGATTTAAGTCATTTGCCTTGCCTGTTTTACAGGGTTATGAATCTCAAATGAGAAAATGTGGGTGAAAGTGCCAAGCAAACTGTAAAGTGTTATGATGACAGCCCCAGCGTTAGTGATGATAGACTGGCATTCATCCAATGATTACTACACCACAAGTAATAGTCAAAGTAGTTTGTATATTTTTAACACATTTCATCTATGAGCATGTGTCATTTTCTCTAATTTTCTGATAAGAGAATGAAGGAACAAAATGGAGGAGTGATTTGTTTAAACATTTCTTCCCTTGGCTAGAAAATGGGAAAGCCAGAATATCACTTAATGATCTGTAGCCTCCTCTGCCTTTCCATATGCCCAGCAGAAGGGAAGTACTATTTTGCTGCCATTAAATTATAAGTTCTATGTTAATTAATAATTAACATACACTTTTATCAATTAAAGAGATTTAACACTGTGGGTGAACCAATCAGTAGACTCTTTCTTAACAATTTAAGATTCATGATGGACATTGCCAAACTGCATCTCCATAATGAACGAGAGAAACATAGACACAAAAGGTTCTGGAAATTAAACTCCTTTAACATGACTAACAATGCAAGTTCATCACAAAGTACGGTGTTTAAAATAGTGAGATATCAAGATCAAACTCATAGTCATTAGTACTTTTAACTGTTTAGACTTAAGGAAAATGGGAGTTTCCTGTGTAGTACAGAATTCTCCATCCAAGTGAATCACAAAGGTGAAATCTTTGTATGAGAAGCCACTCACATTTTCCACCTGTGTCCTCGAGTGTTTAAAAGTCACAGCCTCACTCACAACCACAAATTCATCCCCTAGAGCATTTTTTCTTCTTCTAACTCTTTAGACTTTATGGTTGCTACACCCAGGTAACAGTGGTTTCACCTTAGCTATAGCGACATAGATTGCTTTCAGAAGTCTTTACCCTCTCATCCATATATACCAGCATCAGCAGGAAGTCACACATCAGTCAGTGAAGCCTTACAATCTTATGAAAGTTTGAAAGTTGTTTCCAATTTACTGTCCAGGAAAATGTGGTTCATCGAGGTCAAATAAGCAGCCCAAGGTCAGAAAGCAAGCTGACTGTTGAGTCTGACAAAGCTCTCCTGATAAGTAGGTTACTGCTTTAGCTTCCAGTCCTCGACACCTGTCACCCAGTCGGCATCATGTGCTATTAATAACTTCAGCACACATATGTCTTCATCGACTGAATAGTGAACTCTCTCAATGAACCACTGAAGTGTTAACCATCTTTTCTCATTCTTCCCCTAGCAGAACCTTTCCAGTTCCTCTCTGGCAGAGACAGTGTTGCTTCCTAATCAGAACACTGTGTCCACATTCAGCACTGCCTTGGGATTCCCCAGGTCTGACCCAGAAAGAATAACTACTGTCCTGTGTAAAATTCACAACAGGCATGCCCAGACATTGATCTCAACATGACCTGAACTCTTGCCTCTGTTCTTTTCTATAAAAGAATGGACAGGAGCTTGATGAGATTTTGTTTGGAAAAATGTGTGAACTATACTGAGGAAAAAAGGGATTATATAAAAAGTCAACCACTTTTTGATGTGCAAAAATTTTACTGAAGCAGACAACAGAGAGAGAGGATGAAATTTCACTCTAGGGGGTGTGTGATTCCAGTTGCTGTGATCAGGGTTGGAGGCCCCTGCATTAGAGATGCCTGAAATGAACCAAAAATTTAAAATTCTACCGCAGGTATCCTAAGCTGGAATCAGGGGCAGGAGAATTGGTTCTCAGGACTCGTGACTGAACAGACTGCCAGGGTCTCAGGCATTTTAAAGGCT